CTGCATATCTCTTATCTCTATAAAGATTTTTAAATGTCTGTATATCTCTTATCTCTATAAAGATTTTTGAATGTTTGCATATCTCTTATCTCTATAAAGATTTTTGAATATCTGCATATCTCTTATAAGTTAAAACTTTAAATTCTTTAAACAATTAAAATTTAAAAATATCTTCAATTATTCATAATTTTAAAGCTAAGAAAAAAGTAAACAAATTGTTGTTTTTTGCTCATTTTATAACAGAATTTTTACATTTTTTGGCAATCTTATTTCTATTTTTTTATTCCATTCTTATTTCTGTTTTTTTAAAATTCATCGCAACCTCAATTCCATTTATAAAATTAATCTCAACCTTATTTCTATTTTTTAAATTTATTGCAACCTTATTTCTATTTAAACAAATCTATTTAGTAGTAATTTACCTTAATTCACCACCAGATAATTTTGTTATGAAGCTAAGCACAAACTCTTTCAAAAATAAGTGAGAAAACTTAGACATAATAAATTGAACAAAGATGACAATAAAACTGTTTTGTACGTAACTAAAGTTATCATTACTAATCAGTTCTCAAAATTAGAAAAAATAATATTGGCAATAATTAGCCAACCTTAATCTATGTGAGGTCGGCAGAAAAAATGTAAAACAAAGGTTTGACCATAAAACATAGAAACATTCTATTTTACACTCAAATAATTTTTTTGAGTGTAAAATAGAATTTTGTTTTTTAATGATATGATACTTTACTTTAAAGCATTTAAATCAGAAAAACGAAATAAAAAAATAAAAGTAAAATTTCATTATAGGTTTCAAAAATGTAATTGCATCTCATAAACAAAACAATAATTAAGAAAATTATCTACAAATGAATAAAGAAAATATTTTTATTCATCCAGTTCATTGAGTATGGCTAAGTTACTTTTTAAAAAAGTACTATTTATTAATGTTTCATCAGTTATGTTGCCGGCTCTTTTTCCTATTAACTACACCACATATGCTAAAAAAGCGTTCAACATATGCGAAGGATGTCAGTATATTGAAAAACATAAGACACAAATTATAAAGATACTGCAATTTTTTTCTTTTATCAAACCAAAATGCATTATACTAAGTTTTGTTGGTGAAAGTATGGTTTATTAGGTATCTCTTTCTTTGTCAGTTAAGTGTTCAATGCTGAGTTCTGTTTTGTTGTATTCAATGCTGAGTTCTGTTCTGTTGTAAACAGCAGAGTTAAGCTTGTGATCAAACTGTTTTTTTACATTTTTTATTAACAGTTCGCAAAATTTTTTTTTTTTCTTCGTCTTTTTTAGCCATTTCCTCATATTGCATTTCTAACAAATGTAAACTTGGTACCAAATCACCGATATGTACGCAATTTCTCTGATTCAAAAATGTAAATCTAGATGCTGGGAGCATCATCTTTGTTATCAAGACTTACATCATTATAAGCCTTTTTCGAAGCCATAAAATCTTCTTTGCAGTTAAATTGTGTTGAAATAAAATGCTAAAAAAATTTACCACTTTTACTAAGTGGTTCATGTAATACTTTATACCAATAAATGCAAGTAAACTGTAGTTTTTCTTTCTTTCCAGACTTAGAATCAATTTCTGTTTGGCAATGAAAAAAAGTTCAAAATTGAATGGTAAGTTTTTTCAGTGTCACCAAACTTGGAAACTTAACGCGGAAATTTGTTGCTTTTTAGGTTGTGTTGAATTTCATCAATCTCTTGAGCATATAGTTTAAAACTTAAATTTGTTGATGAAGCTTTTGCTGCACAAGATCTTGATTTTTTGAAATCGACAATTCACTTAAGCCGCTATCACATGAATATCTATATGTATATATATGTGTATATATATATATATATATATATATATATATATATATATATATATATATATATATATATATATATATATATATATATATATATGTGTATATATATATATATTAGGGTGGTCCATAAAACAACTTTTTTGAGAAAAACCTGCTGACACCCCCTAAATGTGTTTTATCTAATGCAAAAACACTAGGTTTAAAATTTTTTTGAACAAAAATTATTTTTAGGGGTAGCTCAAGGCCCTCAAAAATTTGACGGGTCCCTAATATTTTGAAAAAAAAACTTTTTCTAAAGCATGTCAACCTGGTACTCAAAATAAGCAAAATTATATAAAAAATTTAAAAATGATAATAATTTTTTATAAAAATAATTTTTTTAGGTATAAATGCATAAAAACTATTGTTTTTAAGCTGAAAATAAAAAAAGTCAATATTTTCAGGTTTTTTGAGAATAATTTTTTTTAGGCATGTTTTTTATGTAAAATGATTATTATTTTTGAAGTTTTTATACAATATCGCTTCTTTTGAGTACCAGGTTGACATACTTTAGAAAAAGTTTTTTTTTCAAAATATTAGGGACCCGTCAAATTTTTGAGGGCCTTGAGCTACCCCTAAAAATAATTTTTGTTCGAAAAAATTTTAAACCTAGTGTTTTTGCATTAGATAAAACACATTTAGGGGGTGTCAGCAGGTTTTTCTCAAAAAAGTTGTTTTATGGACCACCCTAATATATATGTGTATATATATATATATATATATATATATATATATATATATATATATATATATATATATATATATATATATATATATATATATATATACATATATATATACACACACACACACACACACACACACACACACACACACATATATATATATATATATATTTATTTATACACATATATAAACATATATATATATATATATACATATATATATATATATATATATATATATATATATATATATATATATATATATATATATATATACACATGCGGTAATGCAGCAATGCGGTAGTGGTGTAGTGGTAGAGCGCTTGCTTAATTAGCGAGAAGTTCCGAATTCAAATCCTACCACATTCCTGTTAATATGGCGCTCAACTCGTTTCTCCGCGCAGAGGCCTTGTTTGTCAAGGTTCGTGTTTCAGAGTTGAAAGAGGTTGAAAGTTAGAGTTGAAAGAGGGTTATAACCACAAATAAGTAGCCTCCTGGCCTTCTCGATCTTGAGGAGGTGAATTAACAAACAAAACAAAAAAAAAAGCAACAAAAAAAAACATCAGGATGGGACAAATCTCTTTTTTTTTAATAATCGTTGACGCTCATATCTTTATTTATTGATGAACTTCTAATTTAAGAAGTATATGCCAGACGATCCATTTTTATTTTTAATTCTTTCAATTTTTAATTTGTTTTATTCAAATAATTTTTTATCAAATTATAAGGGAGTTATATTCAAATTCTAGTTATTAAGTTATTATATCAAAGATGCAAAGATTTTTATTAATTCAAAACAATTTTTCACGCATTTGCAAAGTGCACGCAAATTAATGATAACTAATATGCAATATTATGACTTTACACTGTTTTCCATTATTACAAAATAGTGAACTTTTTTCAATTTAGTTCGCTTAGCTTATTTATTTATAAAAAATATATATAAACTTGAAGAAATTAAAATAAAAGGGTGCAAAATAAAATAAAAGTTATTTTGAAATTTCTTTTTTTTAAATCTTTAAAAATAATAATATGGTATTAAGTATTTATTAAGTTATTGATTAATACTTAATATTGTATTTATAATATTAAGTATTTAATAATATATCATATTATTGGTGTTAATAATATATTGGTGTTGTTAAACGCAAAATAAAAAATAAAAATTATAATAAATATAATAGTTCTGTATATTCTATTAAATTATATATATCTAGCATAACTTAAAAAATAATTTTAAAACTTAAAAGTACAAACAAACATTATTTCATTTAACGATAATAAAAAAATTAAAAAAAAAAGCGAAATTTGGTTTTATACTTGTTACAAGCATATGTTTGTATTGTTAATGTTACAAGAATATATACAAAAAGTACTGTCATTTATTGCGCCATGATAAAATCACTAGGCAAGAGTTGACTTATTTTGGCATATTCCACAATAAAATTGAATAATAAATTAAAGTAATTAATATACAAAATATATAATTCATTCATAAAATAAAAATTAATATGCAGTTTTTAGAGTGTAATAGTTTTATATTTTACCATTTTGCATATTATATTTTTGCATATTGTATAAAGATTACAATTAAACTTTTTTGTCACAAAACTTTAAACACAAAGACTTCACCTACTAGGTTGACAAAAAATTGCTAACTTCAGACACTTTTAGGTTGGCCAAATGCCAACCCTAATTTTGAGGGCTGAATACTAATATATATATATATATATATATATATATATATATATATATATATATATATATATATATATATATATATATATATATATATATATATATATATATATATATATATATATATATATATATATAATATTACTTTAATTTATTATTCACTTTTATTGCGGAATTTGTCAAAATAAGTAAGGTTGTTAATAAATAAATGGATAGCTAGTGTAAAAACGTTGTTAATAAGTAAATGGATAGCTAGTGTAAAGACAACTCTTGCCTAGAGATTTTATCATGGCGCAATAAATGACAGTACTTTTTGTATATATTCTTGTAACATTAACGATACAAACATATTATTATAAAGAAAAAATCTTTAGACAAGACAACTCTTGTCTAAAGATTTTTTCATGACGCAATGACATGTATATTCTTGTAAAATTAATGATTCAAACATATGCTTGTAACAAGTATAGAACCAAATTTTGTATTTAGTCATTTTTATGTAAGTCATTTATGCATCAAAAGTTTTTAAAAGATTTTTATTATATAAATAAATACTATAATATTTTTATATTGCTAAATAATTTATTCATATTAAAATAATATATTATTTTAGTATTTAATAGAGTATATTAATATTATAGTATTTATATTAACATAGTAATACTATTAAGTAATATTACAAATTTATTACTTATATAACAAATAAAAACCATTTTATAATATGTAATAAAAAAATGTTTACTAATCCACTGCTCAGAATATAAAAGTCATCCCCACTGAAAAGTGATCCAGGATATGATGAGAAACTTTGCTTATTTCCAGGAATCAAGTTACCTATATATAAAAAAAAGAATTGTCAAGTAAATAAATATTATTCTGGTTTATATATGTTTAGATACTTGCAATTAATAATTCAAGTTTGAATAAATTGCAAGTAACTTTTTGCAGGCTATAATGATTTTTGGGCAACTTTTATTCATAATGATGTTTTACTGATAATTTTTTTTTTTTCTAATTATAATAAGTACACAAAATTTGTATATGTAAATATTAGGTAAGTTTAAACAAAATTTGTATATGTAAATATTAGGTAAGTTTAAACAAAATTTGTATATGTAAATATTAGGTAAGTTTGAACAAAATTTGTATATGTAAATATTAGGTAAGTTTAAACAAAATTTGTATATGTATTTATTAGGTAAGTTTAAACAAAAAGAAAAGTGAGTTTAAACAAAAAGAAAAGTGAGTTAAGAGAAATTTGTTTAACTGAAAGTTTTTTTGAAATTTTATTGAAATTATTTATTGAAAGTTTTTTAAATTGATTTTAAAAGCATTTGATTCGTTCTTGTTTCAGCATTTTTCAGTTTAGACAACTTGTTATATGGCAGAAAATAGTATTAAGATTTCATAAAAAGAATGGGTGAACAATTAGGCCTTAAATTTTAATATGCTTTAGAAACAAATTTTTCAAAGAAAATATCAGCATTAACACTTAGTTAATGATTTTTAGACTTTTAACAAAATTGTCTTTTCTGGTAATCAAGGCAAACAGCATATAAATTGCAGGGGTAGTGCTAAACACTCTTAGTTGGTATTAGTGAAAAACTAACAATTGTTACCAACAAATTGGTTGCTAACAATTAATAATATTATTAATTAATTACTGTATTACAGTACAAAACTACAGTACACAACTACACAATTACTGTATTTACAGTAATTGTGTTAATGCTGCAGATACCATTCTGTCACCATAGTTTACAAGTCCCACATTCAATCTTTAGACTTGTCACGTTAAACGAGTTAGATGCATATAACTCACTGAATTTTATGCAGCTACAAATTTAACAACTTAAAAAAAAGGTTTTGTTTAACTACAAACAAAGCTTTTTAGATCCAGTGACATATTTATACATCCAGTGACATATTTATACCTATAAAATTAATTGCAAGATCTTAAAAATTTTAAAGATTCACTAACTAAAAAATTTAACAACAATAACAGTTAACACAGCACAGAAAGATTGAAGTCAATTTGAAAAATTTGTTTACAGCAGTTTTTGCTTCAACATCTCAGGATGTTTTTTATTTGTTTTAAAAAAAAAAGAAGGCAAAAACAGCAAACATCTTGAAGTTGTTGAAGGGCAATGTTTAAATACATCTGAATTACTTAAGCAACTAATGCAAGACAATATGGCTTAAAGTATAAGCATTAATGATTAAAAAAACTAAAATTAAACTAAATTAAAGATTGACTTCAGTGAAGTTATAAGTGAAACTGGACAAGAACAATATTTTAAAAAACAAAATAAAGAAATCAAAAGTTTTTTTTGTTAGATTTAGCTTGAATTTTTGAATATCTTGATTAATTGTTATGAAATCATTTTAGTTAATTTTTTCATAATGGGAAAAAGTTCTTACTGAAATTCTCATGATTTTTTAAAATATTTTGAATAATTTTTCTTTTAATTTTTATAAATTTATTTAGTGAAAAACATTACCTATAAAGTAATTAAAAAATAATAAATAATAATAATTGACTTTGGTACAACTTGAAGGAACTTAGAAGAACTTAAAGGCTTACTTACTTAATTACCCCTTAATTACTTAAGTTATGTGGAATAAGCTCTATATAACATTATAAAAATAAATTTGTTTTTAATATTTATTTATGTTGTATAGAGTTTCCATTCTTTTGGAAAACAAAATTTTAGGAGACTCCAAAAAAATTTGGAAAATTCATGAAACTTTTTGAAGAGGCTCTATAACTTAGAACAATAAAAATTTGAGGTAAACTGCCCTCCCTGAACCTCTACTCTCTGAAATCTTAGTTTATTGAAAAAATAAAATTAATTAATAAAATTTTACAGATCTAGATCTTTTTTTTTTTAATTATCTTTTAATGCAGTTGTTCACCTTTGTTTTTACAATAGTAGCCTTTTACTGTTCGAAAATAATTTTGCTTTCCATGTAAATATTTTAATTTTTTTCATACTTTTTTAATTATATATGTATATAATATTGCTTTCGATGTATATTATTAATACTTAAACAACTTAAAAAAAAAAATTAATAAGCTAATCATAAGGCTTATTAGCTTTAGAATGTTACATTGCAGAACATTTGTTCTGATAATTAAAAACCTAAAAACTATTTAAAGTCAATTCAATTTTTTAAGCTAATAAAATATAAAAAGTAATAAAAGAATTGCATTTTGTACAAAATTAATTAGACAGCTTTTTACTTCCTTTACATATATACATACTTAGCAGATAAAAACATTTGAAATAGTTAATAGAATTTCTGACTAAAACATAAATAAATTAATAGTACTACTTTGACACTATTTAGCTGAATCAAACATAAAACCTGCACGTTTTATAGAAAACCTTTCCATCAGATGCTATGTTACTACTAAATAGTTTGAACAGAAAATTATTTATATGTAGTTATAGTTTTTTTTTTTTTATCATAATTGTTTTTTTATATACTTTTTATAGCCTTCACCAAGAATTTTAAATCAAAATTGATTGGGTCAACTTTTAAAAACCAACTTTCATAATAGCTTCTTTTAAAATTTTATATTACCAATACAGTAAATCCTCTGACTTAAGAAAAAGAACCATAGGGGTTGACCATAAATTACATCACGCAGTATTTGGCATTTTTTGACTCCTCCCCCTCCTTCTTTGTAATGCATTTGTAACACTTTATTGCCCCCCCTTCCCTCAATATTATGCGACATTTTTTTACCCCCCTTTTCCCTAAAAAAAATTTTAATTTCATTAAGGGGGAAGGGGGGTACAATATCTTACAATTTTTTTTACAAAAAATTTTATAAATTATCACTAATTGTATAAAACATCGCTATCCTAACCATGATACCAATTTTAAAAATCTATTCTTCTGATATATAATACATGTAGAATGTTATATATATAATATATAATACAAAGTAATACATAATAATATATAATACATGCAACAATATTATTATTTATAAATAAAATTTTCAAACAAAAGGATACGTTAGCGTGGCCGAGTGGATTACGCTTTAGGCTAGTAAACCAAGGGTTCCAGGTTCGCCTCTCGGTATTGAATTTTTTTTTTCAATTAGTGCACAAAGGTTTTTTTTTTGTTGCTGCACACTTTTGTGCACCAACTATATAAAGTTCTACACTTAAACCATTTAAAGTCAAAGCACAGAACATGCACTGCACATAGACTGTTACAGCCATTAACCGACTGTTATAGTCCGTTAACAGGCTGTAACTACTCCATTAACGAAGTGTACACATCGACTATGTAAGATTTAGACGTAGTTGATTTTACAATCAAAATGTAGATACATCAACTGAGGGTTTTGGTTTGGTCACCAAATTGCCAACCCTAAACCCCCCCCCCCCCATCTGTAAAGCTTAACATTATTTATGGAAGACCCTATAGGAGAGTTTTTTTTTAGTTAAAAAAACCACAGGAGAGTTTTTTTTAGTTAAAACCACTAAGAAATACATTTAACCTCCAAAAAATCAAATTTTACATGTAGAAAACAATTTTAATATACAGCATGCTTTACTTAAAAAATCTTTTTTTTTTTAACTATTTTCTTATCAATTTGGTTATTAGTTAAAAATACAGTTTGAAACTCTTGAAATTTGAACTCCTATAATTTAAAAGATCATTCAAATTAAACAAATTATTTGCTTCAGAGTTTAATATGTAGGATTAAACTCCCATTATTTGGTCCCTTCATAGTTTAATATGTAGGATTAAACTCCCATTATTTGGTCCCTTCAGAGTTTAATATGTAGGATTAAACTCCCATTATTTGGTCCCTTCAGAGTTTAATATGTAGGATTAAACTCCCATTATTTGGTCCCTTCAGAGTTTAATATGTAGGATTAAACTCCCATTATTTGGTCCCTTCAGAGTTTAATATGTAGGATTAAACTCCCATAATTTGAAAACTTGTATAGTTTGAACATATTTTGAGACCCCTTGAGGTAGGGGGTGGGTCCATAATCATCTTTTTTTAGATTTTTTATAGCTTAACCAACTTTACTTAATTAGTTTTTCATGCTGATTCTGAAAATCATAATCATTTTTTTCATTTTAATTATTTAGCCTTCTACTTTGATTTTAATAAAAGTGAATATATTAACAAAAAAAGGCATTGTTAAAAATAGATGAAATTATTATTATCATTAAATATAAGAAAAGTAGATATCTTTTTTTGTTTAATTTATCAATAATATACCTTACGATTCATAAGTAACAAAAAAAAATTAAGCATTATATATGAAAATAATTTATACAGTTAGTTTACTATTGAAAATGGAAAATAACTATAAAAGTCATTATATGTGATAGAGATTGCTGCTGGAACTTTCCATGTAGAACATCTAGGTAATGAGCATGTTCTTTGGTAGACATAAGATGGAGGTTTGTATTTTTATATCAATAATCATGTATTTAAACAGAACAGATTTCTGCGACAATGACCTACATTGTATCCCTAAAATAAAGAACTTCATTTTTTTTTTTTTAATATATCTTTATCTACTTCAATAATGTCTAGTTTACAGATAAATGGGCTGTCTTGTAACTTTAATCAAACTAAAATAGAACTCACCTTGCACCCCTAATGTAACGCTTGCTGCTCTTCCATTGTTATCCATTTGTTTTTGTAGCTGGTTTCAACTATATTCCATTGTTTTAACTATATTCCATTGTTTCAACTTTTTAGACAAATAATTGGACAATAATTTTCCATAATATTTTTAAACTACGCGAACCTTCATTTTTTATATGGTTTAAATAATTAAATACACATCTACTGTTGAAATTAAATGGGTTTTTTCCAAAGCTTTCCAATTGCAACAACTTAATTAGAAAGTTAATACTAATCATATTCCATCATCAACCAAACACATAATACTTTTCTCTTTTTTGAAGTCCCGAGGCTAACTTTTGCCAAAATACTCTAGCAAGAATGATACAATCATTCAACCTCGTTGAGGTATACTTATTAACTGCTTCTAGAATTTTTTTTAAATAGCTATTCACTGCATTTTAGAGTAAAGCAGAAAATTTCAAAATTTGATCACCCAGTTTGTTTTTTATAAAGCCTTTTAGGTAACGGTATTCCTTTAGCCTGTTTATCTTTAGAGTTGTTAAACCTTAAGAATTTAACTAAACTTCTACTTACTGGCACTTTAAAAGAAGATTTATTCTTGACTTCATTAAAGAAACGTGAAGAAAAAAAATGAAATCTTGAATAGCCTTCTTGATAGCTTGAATAACGATTAAAAATAAATTAAAAAAAGGAAATTAAGATATTTTGAAGCAATCTGTCTTTTTGATTACTTAAAAGGTTTTGTTTAGAAAGAAACTTCAGATAAAACTTTTTTTTTGAAGCAATCTGTCGTTTTACTTATTTAAAACGTTTTTCTAGAAAAAGACTTCAGATAAAACTTTTTTTTTCTAAAACGCAAAGATTATAAATCAAATTTATCCAATCAAAATTTGATTAGCATAAATTTGAAAGAAAAGTTGCATAACTTTATACGCAAAGAAACATTTGCAAAGACTTTTTTTTTTATAACTTTAAATTTTTAAAATAGAAGTAGAAGGTCAACCATAAAAAATTAGCAAAAACTGAATTGTTTTTTGAACTTTTCTCAAAAAATTAATTAAGAATAACTGGTTAAACAAGAAATATAGAATTTTGGACCCCCCCTTCCCCCTACTTGAGGATTAGAATTGCATAAGTTTAACAGAACATGTTAGATTTCATATAATAGTATGTATTGAATATAGATTGAATTTAGTCAATAAATCTAAAAACAATTGTGTTATAAATAGGGCTGTACCGGATTTAATTTTTCCAAATCCGGCCGGAGCCGGATTTGCCGGATTTTTACTAACAGATCCGGCCGGAATCGGAGCCGGAGCCAGATTTTGAAGCAAAACTACAGGAACCAAAATCCTGTATATCCCTACTTGGTGTTGAAAATGGTCAACAATGTTGACTATTTAGATCACCAAGTGACAGTTCCCGACGGGCATTTCTTTTTAAAAGTTACGTTCTAAATGTATTTTAAATGTCTTTTAAACATCTTTTAAACATTAATGTTTAAAAGATGTTTAAAAGACATTTAAAACACATTCAGAACGTAACTTTTAAAAACAAATGCCCGTTGGGTTGTTTTCTATTAAACATCATTTTTGTTGTTTAAAAGTTTTATAGCAATTTCTATAGAAATTAATAGACATTTTATATAAATTTTGTAGAGTTTCTATAGGCCATATGTTTCAAAAATTTAGAGAAATTCTACAGAACTTTTTTTCCCGGGAAGTTGTCACTCCGCCACTGTAGTGAATCAGCGTGTCTATATATTTCTGATTCTTCCAGATATTGGCTTAGCTGAGTGTCAATGCCTGTTGGTAATTGTTGTTCATGTGCTGTGCCACAAGCGAGCGTAGACTGAATAATTTCATCTATATATATTGCCATTGTAATGATGATAATGTATAAGAATTATCCAGCCGGGATTGTTTTGCTGGATTTTCTTTATCTTTTTCAATCTAAAAAGGTTTCTCCTCAATGCCTTTGAAACGCTCATCTAATGAGTTGATTAGGATTGACTTCATAGTTTTTACACCTGCATTATTGCAGAATATCGTGTGTCTTCTCTTCAGAATTTTTTGTTGCGTTCTTGTTTGAAATTAGGCTTAGCTAATTAAATTGTAAAAAAATGTAAATACAGATACCAAAACAAACATGTAGTTCAAAAATTAAGTATTATGTATACATGTTATCACGGGTAAGAAAGATGTAATAAACATCCAGAAATTATGCCGGATTTGCTAACATTTTGCCGGAGCCAGATTTGGGCCGGATTTGTAAAAATGGCCGGATTTCGGCCAGAGCAGGAGCCGGAGCCGAAATTCGGTACAGCCCTAGTTATAAAGAATTTTATTAGTAGTTCCATTTTAATTATTTTACTTGGAATGTTTTTTAATATTTGAAATTATAATAAAAACTTGTACGATTTTTCATTTGTTTTTTGTTTTTTTTTCTTTTAAATAAATGTAAAACAAATTTATTTATTTTTTTTACGCATTTAAAACGGTACAGAGTATAAAAACACATTTTAATAGGAAAATAATAATTATAAGTATTTATAATAATCGTTTTTATCAGGCTTTGTGATAAAAAAAATGCATTTCCATAACTAAGTTTTTGACATCATCAAAATCTTTTTATTTGCTTTTCATATTTACAGACATTAACTTTTTTTAACTACCACAATATACTAAATTACCGCAAAACTAAATGATTATTATTTAAAATAGATATTTATTATATCAACAACTATGATAATAAATACTTTAAGATGTTTATAGTCTCCACAAATGAGAGCACAAAAGAATATTTTTTTTAGGCCACTTACCTGTAGGAATACCTATTTCATTTATATAGCGTTACTCTAATTTCTTGTGGCCAATATTAAAGTTTTTATAATAAATAAAAACCAGGCTGCTTCAAAGTTTACTTTGAAATGAAAATTTTTTTTTTTTTAATTTTTTATTCTATGATAATGATGATAAATTTGATTTCTATGACAATGATGTTAAAGACAAAAAATGATGAAGTTTCATTTTCTATGAAATAAATTTATTTGATTGTTTTATTGTTTAGCTGACAGTTTCAACAAACAAGTTGAATTTTTACTAATTTTAGTTAATTTTACAACCACTTTTTCATATTATTTTATATTTTGCTGTTTTTATGAACATGACTTTTTAAAGTTTTTCTTCTTTAGTGTCAAAGCAAATACAAATTTATTAGCTTATTATACAACTATTTAATATTTTTTCATTGGTTATTTGATCTTTAATATCATATCTAATATTTTTTCATTGGTTATTTGATCTTTAATATCATATTTAATATTTTTTCATTGGTTATTTGAAATTTGATCTTTAATATCATATTTACATAATATGATATTAAAGATCAAATTTGGTTAAAATGTAGGTAACATACATCTTTTAATGAACAATCTTTTAATGAGAATTTTATTTTATATTTTATGTAAAATATACTTTATATGATCCTTTTTAAAAACCTATAAAAATGTAAATAAATTAGAGTAATTGAAACATCTGAATTTTGAATATTCTCATTAGTAAATCAGCACAATTAGAGTGCAATAAAAAAATTTTCAGTTTGTTACTATTTTCAGTATTTTTTTCTGTGGTTGTTTTTAGACACTACATGTTGTTGAAACAAAAAATTGTTGCATAAATAAAAGTATAAAATTTACTTTGTATTAAACTTTAATTATACCGTCAAATTTACTTAATTTTACTAACCTTAATTTTAAAATTTTAATTGAAACATTTGGATGATTATAACAGTTCTTTATAAATTATACGCTATTAGCAATCCAGTTTCTTGTTATTAGAAATAAAGTTAATGGAAATCCAGTATGTGTTGTTACTGTCAATCCAGTTTAATACTGGCACTAAAATAGTGAACAATATTTATGTGCCAATTATTAAGAATAAAACAATTTTTTTAGGTAGCACTGGTTTATCTTATAGTTTTAAATTAATATGACTATATATTAAGTAATTTCATCAGTAAAACTGACAATTTTATCACAAGACAAAACTTTATAAATTAATTAAATAAAAGTTTTGTTAGTTTCATAAATTAAATTTTTATGTTTATATAGTTTCATTTTACCTGTATTTTTTTAGTCTAATATATTCCGATATAGTTTAAAATTTAATTTTATTGAACAATGAACTTTTTTACGGGTCATTATGTCAGTTTCCAAATTGTACAAACTAGAAAACAGCTGGAGTTTTTAGGAGTTTTTTTTGGAGGGGCTAACCTATTATACGAAATTGAAACAAAATAACTATGAAAAATAACCTTGTGCATCATGGAGAGTAAAATTATAATACTTGAATATTCGAAGCATAGTGCTATAATCTGACCATGTGACCTGAGAAATTACAAGATCTGCATTGTTAGAAAACAACTTTACAAAAGCAGAACAAGATCCTGACCCATAAACCTTCCTTAAATTTTTTTTTCCAAGCACTTGTTCAATGTCTTCTAAGTCACCTCCCAATTGTAACAACCTATAATTAAATTTTTAAATAAATTTTAAATAACTGCATTGGTAAAACAAAATGATTCTATAACTCTCTCTCTCTCTCTCTCTCTCTCTCTCTCTCTCTCTCTCTCTCTCTCTCTCTCTCTATATATATATATATATATATATATATATATATATATATATATATATATATATATATATATATATATATATATATATATATATATATATATATATATATATATATATATACATATATATATATACATATATATATATATATATATATATATATATATATATATATATATATACATATATATATATATAAATATATATATAAATATATATATATATAAATATATATATATGTATATATGTATATATATATATATATATATATGTATATATATATATATATATATATATATATATATATATATATATATATATATATAAATATATATATATAAGGCTTGGACAGGAATGGCGTGCGATCGAGCGCTATTGCTGACCACGCAATGATTTTATTTTTTGACAACTTGACCACGATTGTTTAATAAACAATGTTTATATGTTTTGATGAGTTAAAAATTTCAGAAATGTTCTAAATGTAGAAACGCTAAGCTAAACTTAAACTAGGCAAAAAATTAAAAAAAAAAAACTAACGAAAATTCCTAATGATAAAAGAAACGAAAAACAAATTCATAACGAAAAAGAATTTATATAAGTACTAAAATGAAAATAAAAACTTAAACTTGAAGCGAAACTTTTTGTTACATTTTTAATTAGGTATGAAATAAATATTATTAAAACTTATCTTTTTAAGCGTTATTAAAGTTACGCAAAAGGTTTTTAAATTAAATAACAAATTACTACTAATGATTGGTTTAATAAAAGAACAAATTTTATTAAATTTATTAAAAAGTGATTTTATATAATATTTTTAAATTATATAAACATTTATTTTGTTAAAAAAGTTGCAAAAAAAAAAATTGTTTAAAAAAATAACGTAGTCTTTTTAAAATAGTTATTTTTAATAATTTCATGCTCTAATTAGTGTCTAATTAAAAAAAAGGTTTTGAACATTTTTATTCGTAAAAATAGAAAAAAATAATAAATAAAATGCACCTGCGATTTAAATAAAATAAACTGCCAACAAGCTTTTTCATTTAATTTTAATTTGAGCATTACAACTTTATTAATAAGCGCTTTGCATAACGAATTTAAAAATTATTATAAAAGATTTGATTTCATTCATTTTTAACAAAATTAAAAAAAAAAATTTTTACAAAAAATAAAATGTTCATTTAAAACATTTTAAAAAATGGTAAATTTAATCATAAAAATTAGTCATATGAACATTACAAAACGCTTTAAAACTTTTTCATTAAATCAACAAAATACATGCACATTTTATATTCTTGTGTAATTCACATAAAATGTGTAAAAGTTAGTAGTCACAAAGGCTTTTGAACTTATTCACAAATTAAAGTAACTTAAAAAAATTCTTTCTAAAAATAATGGTTTAAAAATGTTTTAGGAAGACATAAGAAAATAGTTTCAAATGTTTAAATTTATCATAAAAAATAAATGCCTAAATAAAAATAACTTATTTATTACGTTTTTTATTAATTTACACAAGCGTTTATGTAAACAATAACTATAATTAATTTTATGGTTTTATTTAAAGCCTTAGCGTAAAATAAAAAACTTTAGAAAAGATCAACGATTAAAAGATATTTATAATGTAACACTTTTTTTATTGCATTCAAATTGTTAAAACATCAAAATAGCCGTGGTCAAGTTGTAAAGAAATAAAAATATAAGCGTGGTCAGTTACAGAGTGTGATCACACGCCATTTTTGTCCAAGCCTGATATATATATATATATATATATATATATATATATATATATATATATATATATATATATATATATATAATATATATATATATATATATATATATATATATATATATATATATATATATATATATATATATATATATGTATATATATATATATATATATATATATATATATATATATATATATATATATATATATATATATGTATATATATGTATATATATATATATATGTATATATATATGTACATACATACATACATACATACATACATATATATATATATATATATATATATATATATAATATATATTTTCCAATCGGTTTAACATTCCCAAAACATAATGACATGATCTTTAAATAATAAACTAAACTATAAAAAGGCTTAATCCAGTTTAAGATCTGACCCAGAGCACTGGCTAATTGGAAAGCCAGTTTCTCAGTTATCTACAGCAAGATTACCATGTATGCTGGATGAACTTCAACTATTCCAGTTTCATCATTTAACTGAAGGACGAACCCTTCTGGAAAGTTATAAAATGTCTTGTGATGCAGTTATTTGTGTATGGATGCAAGCCAGAATACCAACACAGCATACCAAAACTGTCTAAGCTGCATCAGAACTATCTGGCTCTAAAGGTACACTGAACACGAGAACAAGAAAGCGACAGGATGAAAGAAGACATGTTTAAAGGTGACCTTTAAGAATTGTTTGATATTGCGACAAAGGACATCATGACATAAATACAGAACGAAGAAGATCAGGAATTCTTTCTCATGCAAAGAGAAGATGTTTTTTACTTGCAGCATGAGTGGAGTCGTTGTTAAAACAGCAGCAAAAGAAACCAGGAAGAGGCAAGAGGAAAAAGAAGGTGAAAATGAGATATGAAGAACGCATGCCCAAGGGCATTAATGAAACAGAAAGTGAACTTTTGTTGTTGACATCTAGTTCAGAGTCAGAAGATGAGGAGTATCAGCTAAATGAAACTCAGCCATGTACTCCTGCAACAACAAAATTAACAAATTTAACAGCTTGTTCTTCATCATCACAAAAGAAATTTAAGAATATCTTCCAGTCCCCTGAAGTTGTAGGTGCTTTGGATTGCATTTGTCTCCCAGACCGTGGAACTGTTGCACAGGTACTGGGCCATGACATTTCAGAAATAACATTGTCTCAAAGTTCAATTAGACAATCCAGAATAAATGAAAGATAACGAGCTGCTGCAATGG